CTCTCACATCACTGATCCCTCAGCTGGCGGACGCAAGAACGTTTTCTTATGCCGTTTTCCTTCGTCTACATTAGAAGAGACCAACATTCGCGCTGCGTCGTACAAGAGGCTGGCGGCATGGTCAAGAGTAAACTTACTCAAGTCAAGCCAATACAGCGAAACCACCGAGACAACATGAGACCCAACGGGTAGAAAGGAGGACGGATGGCTCTGAAAAAGAAATACCAAACGTGAACGCCGAGTAATACGCCAGGCCTGCAATGAAAAAAAAGAAGCTCTGCAGCTCGGACATCACACGTGTAATCTGATGGGTAATGTAGGTCGTAAGGGAGTATTAGAATCAAGCTGGAGCGTGTAAATGAGACCCATATGTGCGCAGGACAAGATCTAACGGGTAAATTTTAAATCGAAAGTAAGAAGTGCGAATACTTCACACGTGCCAGCGCGAGTCAAGCTGACACAGTGGATTGCGTGAAGAACCAATCACTGTCCGCTGTTCTTCTTCCAACGAAGAAGTTCGGCTAGGCTTGCCAGACTGCAGCCTGTCTTGAGGAAGTCATGGTCCAAGAGTTCGTCGGCGGTAGCACGGCTGTTGACATCGACACAGAGGCAGACACTGAGGAAGGATTTGAGCTCCCTACTCAGCTTTTCGGGCTTCTTCAAGCGAGGAGTTCCGTTTGTGGCGATCAGGTACAACGCCTTCAGTGGTTCCTCGTTCAGATAAGGGGGCTCGGACTCGATCATCTCAATGGCCATGATTCCCAATGACCAACAATCGACTTTGGGCCCGTATTCCTTTTGCTTGACGACCTCCGGTGCCATCCAGTAAGGAGTGCCGACCATTGTTGCACGTTTGCTCTTTGATTCGGTAAGTTTGGCGCAGAAACCGAAATCAGCTGCAAGGGTCAAATCAGTTAGTCTGGGCAAGAGTCAGGCCTCTGAGAAGCAGACTTACTAATCTTGACATGACCAGCGCGATCCAGAAGGACATTATCACTCTTGATATCACGATGGATAATGTTCTGTCCATGAAGGTGGGCCAGACCCTTGCAAGTCTGGGTAACAGTCAGCATCCCAGCAACCCCGTGTAGATATTCGTGCACTTTTGACTTATGAACATACCTCGGCGCAGATTGTCGCGATTTGATCTTCCTGAATAACAGGGTTGTTGTCGATGACATCCGTGAGGGCGCCTCCCTCCATGAACTCCATCACAACCCACAGCTCGTTACTCTGTTCCTGCAAGAACGAATCAAGGAAGTTGACGATGTTCGCATGCTGGCTGTCCTTCATAACGATAATTTCATTGACGATGAGCTCTTTGCGGGGCTGGCTGCGCAGGTCCATCTGTTTGATAGCAACCTGACACCGTGGGCCATATTGCCGGTAGAGCTCCCGTGCGACAGGGGAGACAGCGTGCTCCTTAACACGCGCCACATACACCGAACCTGACGCTCCTTGTCCAATTTTTCGTTGCTTGCTGTATGACTCGTTCGGATTATCCTTGGAGACCACTGACCTCAGTCGATCCATGACCTCATTTTCAGACATTGCCGACATGCGGACCTCCTTGTGGCGTGGTTCAGCCTTCTTGGTCAATGCAGCTTCGGCCTGACGAACACTGTCCGGAACATTGCCTTTTTGTGTTGTCTGCTTGTTCGCAATATTCAGCGGTTTCACAGCCTGCACAGGCGCGGGAAGCTTGGATGGAGGGGGCCCCTGCGCCGCTTTGGTGCCATTGCCTTGGGCGCGAGCGGCCTGAGAACGGGGATCATTCGGAGCGTAACGAGCGTTGGGAGGATTTTTTGCGCTGCCATTGCTGGAAGTAGAGGGAGGAGCGGGTGCTGGGCGCTGAGCAGTCAATTGACGAGAAGGATCTTGACGAGTCGAGCCAGGGGCTTGCGGTGCGGGACGGCTTGGCTTGTAGCGATCGGCCATGGAGGCGTCGCCGCCATAGCCGCCAAGCTCCTGCTTAGCCAGGGGAACACGAGCCTTAGGGATAGAGGCGTTGTACGCTTCCTGATCATGTTTGTTCTGTTCATCTTCGCGTTGACGAGCGCGGCGGGTCTCGTCTTCGACACGTCGACGCTCCTGTTCTGCCATCTCCTTCATTCTCTCGAGCTGCTGCTGCTGGTCCAAAGCACGATCAGACTCCGCCCTCTGCGAAGGTGACGAATTTGCCGAGCGACTTGTTTGGGAGTGACCGTTGTCCAAACGCTGAGCAGGGCCTGGCGGCGGCGGCCTCGGGGGAGCAATCGAGCTGCCCACCGAGTTGTTGCTGTAGGGCTTTGACTGTTGACCGGACGGAGGACCGGCCAATCCAGCGTAGTACTGCGGGTTCTGTTCGCGCATCTTGATATCGGAGTAGAACTCTAGAACCTCAATCACCGCCTGGGGGTTCTTCTTATAGTCTTCCTTGGTGATAGCCGACGCCGTCAGGAGCTTCTCCCACTCGGGGGGTAAGCCCACAAAGGCGCCGGTTTGCGGATCAAAGCCGACATGGACACGGTGGCTGAAATTGGTCGGATTGCTCACACCTCCCATGCCAGGGCAACGCTCGTAAATTTTGTCAATCCAGTCATAAATCTCATCGTCACTCTTGACTTCGCAGGTAATGGTTTTGGTGGGCACGTCGCGAGTGATCAAGGCGGACTTGGAAGCAGCATCCTTTGCATTGGCCAAACGAATGACCTCAAAAGCCATCCGAGTGTCCTCGGAACGAGACACGCTGGTGACAGTGTTGAGTGGGATGGAGAGAACCACCTTCCCAGTCTCATTCTTCAGGAAATCGAGGCGGAACTCGCGCAGAATGAGGTATCTCTGATTCCAAGTAGCCAAAAACTTGTCTTCTTTGCAGCGCACATAGCCCTCTTTCACGACGGCAACGCCCCCCTGGCCGGTCTGGTTTGTCTTGGTCTGTGAGAGGGACGGACTGCTAGTGTTAGGAAATAGTGACAGATTGGCAGATCCAGGAGTACTTGGAGAATTGAGACTCATTTGACTGAATGAAGTGGCCACGCCGGAGGGATTCGAAGGGAGTGTGAGTTTTGGACGGTCGGTAGGAGGGCGCGGAGCGGGCCCGGGATTCATGAATTGGTCGGCGGAATACATACTGCGACAGAGGTCAGTCAAGGTTCTGGAATTGAGACCAGTCAAATCCTAAAAAGAGGTATGCACTGCATGGTCAGGTAAAGAAGCGCTCAACCTACGTTGTAGTCGACAAGATGCTGTGAAGGACAATGGGAATGCGGAAACCCTAAGGAGGAGGAAAGGTAGCTTCAGGGGTTCCCGTTGACCAAAAAGGCCGAGATGAGGGAAATTAACACGCAACGGGAACAGACGCCGCAATGCTTCCCTAGAAACAGCAGAACAAGGAGGTTAGCAAGACGCCGCGACACCAGTATTGCCCGCATACAAGCCCCGAGCGACTCTGCCAAAAAAGGGTGGAATGACACCCCACTTCGAGACACTCGGCCAGGGGCGGTGATCCTTCAGCAAAGAGCCGCACAGGGGTTGGAGGACAGCCAGAGGAGGCAGAGAGGATTGTCTGGAATAAACGTATGCGCGAAGTTGCCGCTGTTGGCTTCCCAAGACAATCTTACCTTATTCCCTTTCCGCCTCTGACCAGCAGAGCCCTCGCGTGGGCGAGGAAGCTCCAAGTGGGAGTGCCGCTTAAATCTGGGGACGGGACGCGGTGAGCGCTTAATGAGCCAAGGCCCCAGAATAGTATTGCAATTTTGCAAGCTGTTTGAAGGGTTGTTAACAAGAGACGCTATGAATTAGAGAGAGTAGAATCTCACAGCGACGGCAAAAAGAATAGGGAAAAATTTTTTTTTCAGAAGATACTTCACTGGTGGGGAGGAAAAGAAGTAGAGTAGGGAGTTAAGTGAGAGAGAGAGAAGGAGAGTTGACAGGGAGGAAGAAGAGAGAGAGAGTGGGGAAGACAGGAACAAGGAGGTGTTAATAATATTGATTGGAAAGGGATTAATACTCAGCTGCTAAGTAGTCAGATGTTGGAAGTAGGAGTAGTAGTATCTAGTAGTGAAGTTTCATCTTGCAACTATATCGATCTAGTTAAGAATCAACATGTTTAACTGTCTATTGATTTTCTCTGGCTTCTAGAATGCTTGTAAAGGATGCAAGACTGCCATGGTTCAACATCCGGGTACCTGCCATTATTGCTATCCCTCTCTGGCTGTAACAGAAATCTAAAGGACTCAGTATAAGTAATATTCGTCAACGTCAGATATCTCCAAGTCTGTCTGAGGTAATTACCATTGCCTCCTTAGGGGTAGAATGGGAATCGAGGTTTAGAGGAATCGATTTGAGATGAACTCCCGGTCAACTCCACGAGGGCGGGACACTGGCTGCGTAAGGCTCGACAAGGTGCAATAACTTGGCATCTGAGCCATAGTACTCCGTAGTAATGATAGCATTACCATTGGCAAAGATTTATTTTTGCCTTTTGTTGTTAGTTTGATGGTTGAATCAGATTAATTGATGAAACAATGCTTTTGTTGTTCTGCTCTTTCTAATAGTAGATACTGTTCACAGTTAACCTTCAGCAATGTAACAACAAATAGTAATAATAATGGATCGACAGGATCCTCTCCCCAGATGCAATGTGCCAGATAAGTGAGTAATGAGTTCTACTCCGTACGTACCTTCAGTACTCCACCGAAGGTCTCGAACTCTCTTCCGGTTCCAGTGCGAAACTACCTAAACAGTGCCCAAGTCGAGCCGAGTCCTGGACCCACGGCTCATCATCAGGAGTATCCAGAAATCTTCTCTTGAATCATGGATCGGCCCACTCCGCTGTTGCAACTGAACCAAACTGAGCAGAATTTGGATACCCGATCAACAATAATGATTATTATTAGGTATGAATTTATTATGGACAAGAAATCACGAATAGCCATTGGATTCCGTCTATTCGACCCCAGCAGGTGCCTATATGTTTACTCATACCCACTGGAGATGGACTGTGGAGGATATATAGATCAGTGCTCCTCTCCAAACGGGTGATTGAACTTCAGCAGTCCATTCAGACCTCCCACCCAGCCATCATGCGCTTCAGCGCCTGTGACCTTCCGCATCACGCATGGCACGCCGCCATGCCACTCGTTCTTGCCATGCCGCATCTCCTCATTCCACACGCGAGCTTCCGTGCCCACCGTCATCCCCTGCCCCAAATTGACCCCGTCAATGCTGACCTCTAGCTCCCGCCCCCGATTTTTCTCACTCAATCGAAGCGTGATTGGCGTGCTCGCGGGCAGAACCAGAGGCCGGAAGCTGAGGCTCCGGGCACAAATAGGCGTCAGAAGCACCGCTGGTACCAGGGGATGGACAATGCTCCCCCCACTGCTTAAGCTGTATGCCGTACTGCCCGTAGGCGTTGAGATGATCATCCCGTCTGCCACTGCTTCCGTCAGGAACCGGCCTCCGACGTATACATCAACCACAGCTAGATGCGGCTCCTTGCCGCGATGAAGAAGCACTTCATTCATGACATACACCCCCTGGGCACCCAGATGATCCTGTGCAACAGGGATGTTTCCATGTACTTGAATTGGTTTGCCATCAACTGTGAAAAGCCCGACCTTTAGACGGTTGCGCATCAGAATCCGAGCTCCCCTGGACGAACCCATAGATTTCCCACGAACCGAAGACCATCCCGTTGGCCCGGTCCCATTTTCCATCTGGTCCTCCAGGATCGGTGCTCGATCTCCGGCACCCGCCCCAGACATAAATACTTCACGAAAAGCGCGCTTGTATTCGGCAAATTTCCATTCGCTTAGAAATCCCAGTGTTCCCATACTGAACGACAGCATGGGAGGTACATTAACGCATGCAGCGAACAGGGAAGATGCTCGTAGGATTGTCCCATCTCCCCCAAGGGTGACCGTCATGTCAACTTTGTCGTGTAATGCGGATGGGTCATTATCTGGCAATGTTGAGTAGACCGGGAAAGGAAGCGAAGAGTGGATTTCCTCGGCAGTCTTTCGTTCTAGGATGATGGCAATTGATGGATAGGTCGACCTCGTGTGGCTGGACTCTCCAGAGTTTGTGTCAGTAAAGGCTCTTCCAAGGATACATCATTCATCTAGTGTTCCATACGCAGCAAATTCAACCAGCGATTCCGTCACCAGTGGGGCACAATCTTTCTTGACAACGAGAATGTTCCTCGGAGGCTCCGGCCACCGAAGCGTAAGCAGGTCGCCTTCGCGAGATTCTACCGGAGGTCAGCGATCTTCACCCAGCATGCCCGAACCAACGGTAGGAGGTGGCGCACACCTTCATATTTGGGTATGATACGTTGCGGTAGCGTTCGGATATCTCTAATCTCTTGCAGATACGAATAAGCCGAGAAGCCTCTCGTGCACAGAATCCGTGGCCCAAATCCCAATCTGGCGGGTCGGAGTTGTATCATAGCCACTTGCATCATAAAAGCACTGCTCGCACAGGTATTCATTAGCCCAAGTCAAAAGCCATTGCAAGTCGAGATTCCTCCTTCATCTTCATTCCATGATGCATCGACTCACATTACGGATTGTTTCTGTCCATTTTCTGACCCGGTCTTCGTGAGTCAAGCCGTCCAGGATGTTTGAAGTATTTCTTTTATTTCAGGGACATTCTCAATGCTTACAGCAGCTTGCTCATAGCTCTCTAAGACAGACGAAGCAAATATCTTGTAGAGGATTAAGAGAAATTTAGATAAGGATAAAATAGATTATCGATTAGATACCACTTAGAGAGGTTATAACCAACGAAAGGTAACCACAAACGATCGACCCATCTCCCTGACCGCCTTTGCCTACGTCACTCACGCTGTGGCAGGGTGGTGCTTCATTGCCTAGGCAAGTAAGGTTGTCTACCCGCAGGTTATCACAAGATCACTTCATTATTCGCTTGCCTGTGCCCACCAGCAACCGTGATGCACACATGATTATTGTGATTATTGTTGTTTCGGTTCCGGTCTCTTTCTCTCTTTTTATTTCCATTGCTCAAAGCATGGCTTGATATTCCTTTTCCTCATCTTTATTTACTCCCCGAGTTCTCCATTTGCGACGTCTCGTGTCGCCCACACAGCTTTAGGCTCCGAGACACTGCTTATTTTTACCTAATCCCCCAGTACGTCGATTGCTCGTGTGCTTCGTACGAGCGCGGGTTCACCGTCTTCGTTTTCGCAGACTTCATCTCGATCTTTCCTGTTCGATTACTGAGGTTCTTAATCAGCTTCACAAGGGTTATACACAGCTGCTCGTCATGGACTCTCCAGAGCTTCGTCAGCGCAAGCCGGCACCTGGCCTGAAAGGGGATAACGTGGTTGAGAAGCTTCAAAGCTCCCAAGACACCGAGCCGCGCCTCAAGCACGGCATCCCTATGCAGCTCCTTCGTTCCTTGTTACTTGCAACATGGTTCAATTGCTGCTGTATCATTATATTCGCGACCCAGTTGATCGGGTCTCCGCTTTATTTCATAAGCAAGGACTATTATTATAGTTACATGGCTCTGACGAAACAATCATTTGGCTTGGTTATAACAGCCCTGACACAATGGGGCTGTCCAACATATGTACGCGTCAGTGGGGATGAGAGTGTGCGAGGTCAGATTCACCTGTGTAAGGATGGACGACTCAAGACCGAGTTTCCCGAGCGTCTAGTCTTGATTGCCAATCACCAGGTTTACACCGACTGGATCTATCTTTGGTGGGTCGCTTACACGAACCAAATGCATGGTCGCATCTTCATCATTCTCAAGGAATCGCTCAAGTATATTCCAATCATCGGGCAGGGTATGACATTCTACGGTTTCATTTTCATGGCCCGTAAATGGCTGTCCGACAAACCTCGACTACAGCATCGTTTGGAAAAACTCAAGACCCATATGTCCGTTTCCAAATCGGAGTCCCCGCAATATGACCCCATGTGGCTCCTGATTTTCCCAGAAGGCACCAACCTGTCTCCAAATACGAAACGACGGAGCGACGAATATGGCCGAAAGCAGGGGCTACCGCCTCTGAAACATGAGCTTCTTCCTCGGTCGACCGGTCTCCTATTCTGCCTACAGCAGCTGAAGGGAACTGTCGATTGGGTATATGACTGCACCGTTGCGTACGAGGGGCCACCGTAAGTTTCCAAAGGAGATCTCCGTGGTCACTGCTCATTGATTGACTAACACCTTTCTAATTTCCCAACTGTAGGAACGGCAGCTATCCCGACAAGTACTTTACTCTCCGGTCCACATATTTGCAGGGAAGGCCTCCGACCTCCGTCAACATGTACTGGAGACGATTCGCTATGTCCAATATTCCTTTGGATGACCAAAAGGAATTTGATAACTGGCTCAGGGCGCGCTGGACGGAGAAGGATGAGCTACTTGACGAGTTCTTTGAAACTGGGAGGTTCCCAACTGCCCTGGCTGGCAGCATTGACGCTGGGGATGTGTCCGATGTTCAGAGAGAGGCTGCCTCTAAGGGCTTTGTAGAAGCGCATGTCCGGCTACATCACTGGGCGGAGCTTGGGCGGATTTTCATGGTACTAACAGGCATGGCGTTTCTTTGCAGATTGCCCAAGGTTTTGGGGCTATGGGACTAGAACGATTTCGAGTCTTCTGGGCGGTGCTAGCTTATCAATAACTATATTGCTAGTATTCTTATGAGCATGACATGACAAACGAAATGATATCATAGATTGATGAAAATATGTCGGGAGTTTACAACGGCATGCGAGGAATAAATATTCTATGGTTGTACTTGATCTCAGGGCACATAATTGTTGAGGTATGGCCCGGCATCCAACGCACAAGACTAACGAGCGACCAAGTTGTTCCAGGAAAATTGCTCTTGAAAATAACGCCGATGATCAATCTGGATCCATTCAATATCACTCCTTTTTGGATGTGTTATTATCATCAAGCCGATTAACTGTGGCGGTGCTACTCGATGCACTAGCCACTTCCACTGCTAGATGCCTCAGGCTCCGACGTAGATTATTCCGCCCAAGCAACAAAGATCAAGAGCCGCAGATTTGGCTTTATGGTCTCCAAAGCTTTAGCACAAGAGCTGGTTTCGTATTCGGGTCCAGCAAAGAGAACTCTTCATCTTTCTCTGTCTCAATATCCGGGGAACATTTATCAGATTCTCTCGCCTAAAATGATCATGACTTGAGCTTTTCCACGAACTCACCTCTCAGCTCAAATCCGAACAGTCGCATCTCTCCGTGTTTCCTCCTACCGTCTCATCTCGGAGACGTTTGCAAAGGACAGCACGTATCCCCTCCACCCTAGAAAAGCATCATGGCGTCGTTAGAAAACGGTTACGCCAATGGCGCCGATGACAATTCATTCCCAACCGCCAGCTCTCAGGTCAATCTTCGCTTTTCTGACATACCCTCCGCGATTGATATTCCCGCGTCCACCCTTGACAGCGAAGTCGAAGTCAGTTTGGAAGGCCTACCAGACGACCCCACAGAGCTGTGTACCCTCCTGGAGAACGAGAAAGCCGCCAAGAATTTCTGGGTGATTATCGCGCTGGCGTACGCCAAGCAGAAGCAGCTTGATCATGCGATCGACATTCTCAATAAAGGCCTGGCTTCGGTCGGTCATGGGGCGGCCAAAGAGAAACTGGGTCTGTTGGGCTGGGTCTGCTGGCTGTTGATGCTGAAGAGCCGACAGGCCCCCCGAGTTGCTTCGGAAGGGGAACTGTATACAGAAGCCAAGACAAAGGACTATTACCTCCAGCTCGCGACATCGACACTGAATGAGGCGTCGCGACTGAACCCGGCTTTTCCTCCTTTATTTCTCGCGCGGGGAGTTCTGTGCCTTTTGCGGGCTTCCTTGCACCCACCAAGACCGGTCCGACCAGGATCAGTTGATACATCCGAGAGAGTGGAGTCGCTGCGACAGGCGCTCAAATGCTTCGAAGAATCGTCAAAAGCGTTTGGAGGCCGGAATGTGATGGCGATCCTGGGACGTGCCAGAGCCCAATACTTGCTGGGCAGGTATGCGGAGGCGCTAGAGGGGTATCAGAAGGTTCTGATGAAGATGCCTGGTCTGACAGACCCAGATCCTCGAATCGGTATTGGGTGCTGCTTGTGGCAATTGGGCTTCAAGGAACAGGCGAAGGTTGCTTGGGAGCGCTCGCTGGCAGTTGTAAGTTACGAAAGGCTACTGTGAGCTTTGGAGAGCATTACTGATGACTTTTTGTGTCCCTTACAGAATCCCAACTCCAAGGTTGCCAACATCCTGCTTGCCGTTTATTACCTCTATGACAGTTCGCGACACGCGACGACAGATCCTGCCTTCGGCTCGTTGTACAAGGTGGCCATGACTCAGTACACGCAGAAAGCCTTCAAATTGGACAAGGAATACCCCATGACATGTGCACTCTTCGGCAGCTATTTCCTATTGAGAAAATCCTACTCTACCGTCGAGACACTGGCGCGTAAAGCCATCGAGCACACCGATGTAATGGCAATTGCCAGTGACGGCTGGTATCTCCTGGGACGCAAAGCTCACTATGAAGGTGACCTTGCCCGCGCTGCGGAGTACTACAGCCGCTCCGATCAAGCGCGAGGAGGCGGCGACAAAGGGTATCTTCCTGCAAAGTTCGGTGCGGTGCAGATGCAGGTATCCAACGGAAACTACGACGACGCGAAATTCCGGTTGGAGAAAATCATTCAGCAAGCCAAGAACCCCGAATGTATGATCCTACTTGGGGCTCTTCATGCCGAGGACGTCTTTGCTGCTCAGGCTAGCGGTAGCAAAGAGGACAAGTCGGCGGAAGCTAAGAAGTCCATCAGCCTGCTGGAATCGGTCCGTAGCTTGTGGAAGGATGAAGCCAAGAAAGTCTCTCCTGATGAATCAGTCTTGGTGTACCTGTCTCGGCTCTATGAGCAGGTCGCCCCGGAGAAGAGCATGCAATGCCTGACTCAGCTGGAAGAAATGCAACTAGCTGAGATCGCCGAAGAAGAGCGTCCAGAGGGTATTGAGGATGAGGAAGAACTCAAAGCCGTCCTCCGAACAAACCTACCTCCTCAACTTCTCAATAATATGGGCTGCTTTATGTACCAGGCTGACAAGGTCGAACAAGCGAGAACGCTATTCCAGGCTGCTTTGAATGCCTGCGTTCGATCACAGGAGAAGGAGGCGCAGCTTGACACAGATGCTCTTGTAACGACCATTAGTTACAATCTGGGTCGTGCCTACGAAGCCTCCAGCATGCAAGACGAGGCCAAGAAAGTTTACGAAGGCCTGCTTGAACGTCATGCAGACTACACAGAAGCCAATGCGAGACTCACGTATATTGCTCTTCGACAGAGTCCTACGGATGAAGGGCCGAAGAAGATGGCCAAACTATACGAGGCCGACTCGTCGAATCTCGAGGTCCGCGCTCTCTTCGGGTGGTACCTGAGCAAGTCCAAGAAGCGG